CATAGACCTGGACGTAGTCATGGTAATGCTGATGGTGTATCACGTATACCTCAGGATACTCGTGAGGTACAGAGTGGCCACGTATGTAACGCATCGAATGGTAATGACAAAACGAGCCCGTGGTGTCTGCGCTGGACAGCGAAGGAACTGAGTTTGCATCAACACGAAGATCCAGAGATTTGTCGTGCGATCGGATGGGTGAAAGACGGTAAGCGACCACCGAAGGAGGATATAACACGTATGGGTCCTCTAATGGGCAAACTTTGGAGCAAATTCGATCAATTGACGCTTGTTGATGGACTTTTGTATCGTATTTTCGAGAACGATAATGGTAATGACCGACATCTTCAAATTTGTTTACCACGAAAATTAATAAAAGAAGTTTTGGAGTTGACTCATGATATTCCCAGCGCGGGTCACCTCGGTTCTCAGAGGTTAAAAGAAGTGATAAAGAGAAGATTTTATTGGAGCGACTGGCAGTCAGATGTCGAGATGCATTGCAAGAATTGTCAGATATGCGCAGAACGAAATGGACCGTCGAGAAAACGACGCGGAATGATGGTATTGGATCAACCGGGATACCCAATGGAACGTGTTGCTATGGACATCATTGGACCACTACCTAAAACCCCTGATGGTAATCGATATATATTGGTGGTCGTGGACTATTTCACGAAATGGCCGGAGGCGTACGCGATTCCAAATCAAGAAACACGTATCATTGCACAAAAATTGGTGGATGAGTGATTTGTAGATATGGAGTCATGCAGCGACTGCATACGGACCAGGGGAGAAATTTCGAAAGCGCGGTCTTCAAAGAGATAATCGATATTCTTGGGATAAAGAAAACCCGAACAACACCATACCACCCTCAAAGTGATGGCCTTGTTGAACGAATGAACCGGACTCTGAAAGATATTCTTTCAAAGTTGGTCAATGAACGTCAAGATGATTGGGACAGATGTTTACCTCAAGCATTGTTGGCGTACCGGTCCACCGTGCAAAGTTCAACAGGGTTCTCTCCACATTTCTTGATGTTTGGAAGAGAAACAAGAATCCCAGTTGACCTAATGACACCTGAGCCCCCTCAAGCAGAAGTACCACTGACTACATCAGAGTATGCGGAAAAATTGAGGAAACGTTTTGAAAGAACATACGAGTTGACCAGAGTAAATACAAAGAAATCTAGCGAGCGATATAAAGACTACTATGACGCGAAGGCGAAAGATACGACGTACAACGTCGGGGAAAAGTATGGTTGTATGTACCATTTGTCAAAAAGGGAAAGAATTTGAAGCTATCACGGCCGTGGCGGGGACCATATACGATTGTGAAGAAAATTTCAGATGTGGTGTATCGAATCGAGAAAAATGCCAACAAAAGGAATAGGTTAGTAGTCTATTACAATCGTCTTAAACCGTGTTTTGAACGACCGTTGAAAAGTCTACCTAATCGACCACCAAACGAGACGAAACTGCAATCGAAAGAAACCCCCGAAACGAGAAAAGAAAACGTGGAGAATTGTAGTGGCCAGACCCCGCAAACGGAACCCCCAACCAACGGAGGAAATGATGAGGATGAGTGGACAGTGAGGTATTTTAGAAGAAATTTGAGACAAAGTAGACCAAGTCGGGCAATTAACGGGGAGGAACACGGACAAAATTTACCTGATGAGGTCCAAGAAGACGTACAACATATACCTGACGAATTACAACAGGATGGGCCATTGAGTTCAATGGAACAGGATAATCAGAGAGACGGTAGCGACGAGACATTGCGAGAACCAGTAGAAGGAAACGAGGGACAGTCACAAGCCCCACCGGAAAGGCCAGCGCGAACGAGAAAAAAACCAGCGTGGTTACGGGACTATGAATAGCTTTAGCTATACATATATGTCGGACTGTACTGCATTTTTGCAGCTTAGTTATCTATTAAATTGTACTGCATTTTTGCAGCTTTGTTATCTATTAAATTTAGAGGGGAGTAGTGTAGAGAATATAGAGACCGACGTTATAGAGACTGACGTTAGCAAATATAGGTGGCGTGGACGAGCGTTGATCGATAGTTTTAAGTCCGGACACTACAGGAAAGTTGTAAGACTGTTAATATTAATATATCTTAAGAAATAAATTATTACAGTATTAACTAATTAATAACTTTATGTTTTATTGCACACAAACCAACAAACGCGCCAGTAACATTAACCTAACAATTACCCCCGGTAGCTGCCTCAAATGCAAATTTAAGATTGTTATGAATATTAGGTTCTCCCACTCTAATCTCTTTTGGGGAGCTTCGCTCGCCCCAATTTTACTTTCTTTTCCATTACGCCAGTACGTAAGTGATTTGTGAGGAAAATAGGAGGTCTGGAGTCCAACCCCAGAAAACGTTTATATTTTTGATGCTCAATTAATGATAGCAATTCTGGAATTTTCTGGAGCATCCACAAGGGTAACGAGTAAATGAGACGACTGTTTTAATTAAGGCTATTTTTGTTAGTTTGGTGACTGCACATTTGAGTTTTAAGGACTGCACAAATGGATTTAGAACTGCACATTTTGTGTAGAACTGCATGTTAAATAAACTCTGGCGCGTTTGTTGCTTTGTTAATTAGTTAATACGAACTGTATGATTTATTTCTTTCTAATTCATTTGGAAGAGAAGAAATGGCTTATTTTTCATTTTTTCTTCTGAGTGATTGAAATGAAAAACATGTGCATGTAAGTGCATGTACTATAAAAATTTCAAGTTCCTTGGCCACGTGCTCCAGCAGCCCGTAAACTCGCAAAGGATTATAATTAATGTTATATGAAAAATCGTGTGTTATCCAAAATTTAAAGTGTTATATGAAAAATCGTGTGTTATCCAAAATTGAAAGTGTTATATGAAAAATCGTGTGTTATCCAAAATTTATAATGTTATATGAAAAATCGTGTTATCTCAAATCAGTGTTATATGAAAAATCATGTTATCCAAAATTTATAGCGTTATATGAAAAATTGTATGTTATCCAAAATTTATAGTGTTATATGAAAATGAAAATCTTATCTTAAAATAGAATAACATTTTTGACACCGATGACGCGCCATATTTTCCTTGTTTTCTTGTTTATTTTTCACTGTTTTCTAGTGTTTTGAATAAAATTCCCGCCTATTTGCAAAATACGAGTCCACAATCATGTTGAAAATGTGTGTCAGCGGTCGTTACTCCCTGCTTACTTGATGTAATTTTGTGTTTAAACGCCCCACGCAAGCCCCACGCACAGTTAACTACGTGATTAGTTAACTATCCGACTAACTACGTTTTGTGCAACGCAGTAAAGTCATGTAGTTAACTAATTACAGTTAAGGATTTAACTACAGTGATTAACGCTAACTACAGTTAGCGCCAACTACGTTTTTATACAACTGGCCCCAGAAAGATATGTAGAATAAAGCAAGCCTTAGGCCGAGTTTCTAAACCATATATTGATTGACTGTGAGTGTATAACTAAACTGTATTACACTCTAGTATCCTGACTCATGCCTGCCAAAAACAGAGTTTCTAACCTTTTCCTTTTGTATGGTGACCCGGATTTCTCTGTAGCAGGCACCATCTGTTCTCCAGGCCGAACCCAAAATATTGGACCATCGTTACTCTGTTGGGGATCATCCATCCTTAGCAAAGAGAACTTTCCCCATGGCATGACAGGTTTGAGAAATGGACACTTTTCAATAAGATCTATCATGTCTGGAAAATATCCACCAGTTTCCTCATGCCGTGTACCCACCAGACTAAACTGCAGTGAACCACCACAACGAAATGTCCCATTCTGATAAGTTTCTTGCACTTTGTTGTAATACTCCACAAAACAAGTTGTATCTATGTCTTTCTTTTTTCCTAAAATTTCAGTTTTTACTGTCTGTTTTGGATACTTTTCACCAAAGTACCTAACAAGTTCAGGAATGTCACGTGCTGCATCATGAACCACACCCATAACGTGGGTCGCGATCCCTTCTTCCTTTTCTTCAAAAACAATCCGAAAGAACTCATCCACGAGTTTTTGTAGATGTTCTTCCTTAAGGTGCTTTACATCATTATAGTTCATGTAAACAATAGATGCACCACCATTGGGAGATGTTTTAATTGAAATGTACTTGGAAAGGGATGTTTTAATACCAGTATTACCGAGATCATGTTGAAAGGAATTATGAGAGTTGTGTCCATGCTCGTTGTTATATTTCTTCTTCTTTTTCTTACGTTTATGTCCATTTCGTATGTCCAATTTTGACTTAATCTCAGAACCTAAACATAGTCAGAGAAAGGAAAATTCTGAAAGGGTTAAAATACAGTACACAAGGGGTGAATTGTGATCTCACCTGATGAGTGCGTATACATACTGTATAACAATCACGCAAAAATCAACAGTGAGTATGGTTTCAGCTTTATCCCGCTATTCAAAAGTTCCTTATTGTAAAGAGTTTGATCAATTTCGACTTAAAGAAACAACATTTATTTATTTTATGAAAACTTCTCATAATTGTATGAAAACTCCTCAAGTGTCTTTCCAAATTTGTTTTTCTGCAGACTGCTCAAGGATAGGGAAAGAATATCACCCTTCCAAGTTTGGGTGTGGACAGGGCCGCCGAGACGGGGGGGGGGGGCAGGCAAATTGGCCTAAGCCACCAGAAATTTTTTGTTGGGCCCCAGTCATTTTTTTAGGTGAAATATTTCCGCGCAAAGGGCAAGACATTTGTTACCGAAATTTGGTATGAATAATTGAGGTAAAGTTGCTGGAAAGCAAGTACAACGTACTCGTCCGGAAAAATTTTTTCCCTAAAAATTTTGAAATAGGGGCCCTAAAAAAAATTTGCCCCGGGCCCCCGCCAAGCTCTCGGCGGCCCTGGGTGTGGAGAAAAGTTCACCACTGATACCTATACTGTATATACACACCCGGCCTTTATACAAAAATATACATAGTCTTCGTCATCACATGTGTAATGTATTTTCGCCAATCAACCAATAACAATATTTATTATTTATATTAACAAACTATTAATTTTGCTATTATGATATAATGTACCATACAGTAAAAAGTATTATATTCCAGTTATTCCAGTCTCTCTGTGCAAAAATGTAAAAAGGCTAAGTCACCATCACAATCACCTGCAATGAAACCTTACCATTGTTTCTTTTAAACTTCAGTTTGATGCTACCATGACGGGCAGTGTGTTGTGATGATGATTTTTGGCATTCTTTAGGCCATATACCTGTAAATGAAGTAAGACAGAATGATGTTTCAAAAGATAATACACTGTAAAAGACAAATTAAACCCAAATAAAAAGATATCCATCACCACAATTTCTATATACTGCACGTACTGTTCTTATATATTGTACAACTGTTCTATCAGATTATTTACACTGGCAATCAATGACTGTAAATCTGTCATTATATAATGACATTTCTGTATTTTGCTTCTCACACAGGAGTAAAAATAAATAATTCATAATGACTACAGTTACATTTAGAAACCACAGCTGACACGCACGCAGACCGATAAATCTTGTTACTTGAACAGTTGAACATACATATACTTTACCCAAATGTCTTTGACTTTGTTATTATATGTCACCGATTCGTACCAGCCTGTATACTATAATAGACCGCAGGGGTTTCAGAATGATTTGAAGTAGGCGGCTGTTACAAAAAAGTAGCCGGTTGTGACTGATAGTTAAAAAATCGCGCGGGGAGGGGGGCGTGCCCTCGCATGGAAATTTAAAAAAATTTCGCCGCAAATGGACCATTCCCCAATTAACCAAAATTTTGATCTCAACAAGTCCAGACAAAATTCCATCATAGCATGAAAGAGCATCACAAAATTAGTAATATTCCAAATTTCGTTGCGAAATGTTGTAAAATGCGGATAATATAGCCTTGGGAAGTTTGTAATTTTCAGTCATTTAGTATTACGCACAGAAGTGGTAACCATTTCCCGTTAGTAATACAAAATGACTGAAAATTGAAAACTTCCCAAGGCTATATTATCCGCTACAACATTTTGTAACGAAACTTTGGAATATTACTAATTTTGTGGTGCTCTTTCAAGCTGTGATGAAATGTTTGTCTAGACTTGTTGAGTTCAAAATTTTGGTTAATTGGGGATTGGTCCATTAAAGGCCCGTTTACACGGATGATTTTTGCTGCGATTTTAGGGCGATTTTCTTCTTCTGATGGATGTGAAGGAGTGGATGAGTTATAAATGATCCAGGTTATGAAATTTCATAACAACGTCGTTAAGTAATCTACTCCTTCATATCCTCCAAAAGGAGAAAATCGCAACTAAAATCGCAGCAACAATCGCCCGTGTAAACGGGCCTTAACAATCAAATAATATAGAAAAACTAAAAAGACAAAGTACAACTATTGACATGTTAGATTTAGATGTCATTTGCATTTATACTTGTAAGTGACAATGTACTCTAATGTGGTACTAGTAGTTTAATTTTTACAGCTGCATGAACAGAATGACAATGTACACTATTAGTATTAATTTATGAGTCCGAAATCATTAATCAAATTATGTTATACTTATGTACGTAATGAACTTTACTTCATCACTTTATCATAATTAGTTCACTGTCAAAGAATTAGTCACTTGAAAAACATTTGCCAAGTAGCTCTGAATCTGACTCGTTCTCTGGCTCACTGTCAAATTCGGATTCCCCAATGCTTAAGTCACTGCCAGAGTCAATCAGAGTCATCTTCCTGTTCAGGAAGATTCAGAGCCGCTGACCATTTGCTGCGAAATTTAAGATGGCGACGAGAAAACAAAGAATGTTTATCTTATCGCTTTTTCGACAGCAACTTAAGAAAGCAAGCTATGTTTGGTACTATGTATTATTGATCTTCCAAAATAAGTGATGTTTTGCTTGAATTCCAATTGGAACATAACAAACATCGTGTTGGTTCGCTTGTACCTTTGTATATAAAAGTTTTCCTGTGACCAGACGAAAAGTAGCCGGCGGTAAAAGTTCAATTCTGAAATCCCTGTAGACCTTTCCCCTTATGAGTGAAATTTTGATCTAGATATGTCTGGACAAAAATTTCATCACAGCTTGAAAGAGCATCACAAAATTAGTAATATTCCGAAGTTTCGTTGCGAAACGTTGTAAAATGCGGATAATATAGCCTTGCGAAGTTTGCCGTTTTTCAGTCATTTTGCATTAAAATGGGAAATTGATAATCAGATGATCAAACTGATTATCAATTTCCCGTTTGTAATGCAAAATGACTGAAAAAGGCAAACTTCGCAAGGCTATATTATCCGCATTTTACAACATTTCGCAACGAAACTTCGGAATATTACTAATTTTGTGATGCTCTTTCAAGCTGTGATGAAATTTTTGTCCAGATCAAAATTTCACTCAAAAGGGGAAATGTCTATTGGTAAACTTTCTAAAGTCCGCGGTTCGTGGTTCCTGGAAGCGAAAGACTTTTGTCACCCGCAAGCGCGCCAAATTCACCGGTGCATTTTTGCTCCAGTGACGTCAGTGAATGCTCATTATTATTAGGCAATTGCTAGATAGTATACTTCAAAATAAGGTTTCCGTTTTTATATCAATTTTTAAAATAAGTTAGGGTTAGGGTTAGGTTAGGGTTTAGGTTAGGTTAGGGTAAGTATTAGGGTTAGGGTTTAGTTTTGTGTTAGGATAGTTTTTTCTACGTTACAAAAACGGAAACTTTATTTTGAAGTATACTATCTAGCGATCACCATTATTATTATGTACTAACGACGCCAAAACAATAATGAACTAGTGAAATCGACATGGTGAACGCCCACTATGTCATAATTGATTTTCGCGCCAAATTTTTCAGTAAGATTCAAAATCAGGCAAGTGACACAAGTCGCTCGCTTCCGTCTTTCTCAAGCGCTCCCTTCTTGCTACGCGCGGTCCCTAGCGAGCGACTTGGGCAAGTCTAGTCTATTGGCTGACCGGTCCTTTACTAGTTTAAATTAAGATTTTATTTTTATTATTACGTCTGGTAATTGAATGTTATGATTTGGATACATGCATGGCCACATTGACAGAGTAGCAGTTGTGATCAAATCCATGGGATGGCTTTGCAAGGAGGAAAAGGAAAGCAAAAGTTTGCCACGACCATGAAAAAACATGGTATAAAATACCAATATACCTTGACATGTTGATGGCAATATATCGGTATTCAGTAGTTGCAATACTAATTCCTCTAAGATCTAGGAAATTGGTATGTGTTTAATGATTCTATTCACACAAAAGAATGAATGCCAGAAAGCTGTGTTTAGGTGTTTGTAACAGTAGTTAATGTTACAGTAGGGCTGTAGGCAAAATTCAACAAGCTGCGAGCACTGTGGAAGATTCCACTATGTGAAAAATGAGAATCTCAACATTTCAAGTAGACTTGAAAGGACTTCGGGAAAGTCTACATTTCGAGCTAAGGCCCTTTTTGTATTATTCACGTACAGGTAGTTGAATCTTCTAAATTTCTTGCACTTTGAATCCTTGCTACCTCTGGCACCTACCATTCCAATGTTATACAAGTCAGACTTCGAAATGCCTGCAGCAGTGATGCTGATACAAAAAGAACAGGAAGCCATTGTGTTTCATATGTATATGCTCAGATACAGTACAGTGTATATAAGAAATATGGTACACAGGTACAGTACAGTATAAGAAATTTGTCCCTCCGGACGGAATCCCGTCAATTTCGCACAAATAAATAAAATTACATGAGAATTAAGATAAATGAATATTACATTTTCTTTTAGTTTAGTCTAGACGGTTTTTGTGATTTTGCGAAAAAACATGGACAATATCGTTGATGTTGTACCAAATTAAAATGCAATTGAGTTTCAAACGTCGTGCTATGGTCGCGCTATAATATATAGATTATGGACTACAGTATTTACAGTATATACGGGTATTGACTATAGATGAATTTGACTGTTTGTTGAATTTAGTTCACGGCATTGCAACGGAACAAGACATTTGAGTGATTTTTTTAATGAATCGACACGCAATACGCCAATAGCGATTTGTCACAAATTACTTTCGTTTGCATGGCAGATATTCGGCACTTGTCTTTTATACTTTGGTTTGCGATGGTTTATACTGTAGCCTTCTTCCTTCACTTTTATTATCCGCTCTTTGCTATGCTGGTTTAACTTTCCCATTTTAGCGTGCACACCTTCAAGTTCAACTTACATATAAACAAATTTCTACATATATTATTATCTCCCAAGCAATGCGTCTCTCTTCCAACCCCACGAAAATTACCCATCCCACGGGATAGATTTCCCGTCCCGAGGGATTTTTCGTCCTGCGGGATGGATTTTTCGTCCTGCGGGACGTCCCACATGGGACTGTTACTTTTCCGTGATTGGTACTTTATTAACTGTTAACACAGTTATTAATTATAGAATTTATTACGGACTTATGTACATTACTTAAGGAAAGCAAATTAGGTTACCGCAAAACAAAGTTTGCGGTAACGTGGCAGTAACCCAGGTTTGGTTACCACAATTTTGGATAGCTTGATTTGTTTTAAAATTACATAACTTATCTATTACAACAATTACAGTACTTCCCATAATATCATTCACAATTTCTCATTTATAGTGTTCAAATTTATAGTATTTTTACAATCCCCCTCTTCCCAAAAGGCTCCAACAAAAGCAAGGACCATCCCAAAAGGACAAGATGAACATTGTATGATATGATCACCCCCATTTTTCCCCACCCTTCTAATTTATGTTAATGATATATCAACAAGAGCTGCATCTCAAATTAAGCTGTATGCAGACGACACAAAACTCTATTGAGAAATATGCGATAAAACACTTGATGTACAAATATTACAGGCAGACTTAACGCACCTCCACGACTGGTCCAAGACATGGCAATTACCTTTTAACACAGATAAGTGTGAAGTGATACGAATTACACACGCGCGTGACAATTCTGTTCCGATTTATTCACTAGCAGAAACTTGCCTGAAATCAGTCGATCAAATTATAGACCTCTGAGTAACCATCACAAAGGACCTCTCGTGAAGTCAACACGTAGCTACAGTATAGTCGTTAGTAGAGCAAACAAGGTACTGGGCATTATTAAACGAACAGTCGGTGCAGTAGATAAACGAATTTTTTCAATGCTGTATAAATCACTTGTGAGACCCATACTGGAATATGCCATACCAATTTGGTCCCCTCATTTAGTCAAAGACTGACAAGCGCTCAAAAAAGTCCAAAGAAGAGCATCTAGAATCGCCCTCAGACAGAAAAGACAAGAAATGAGTTACGAAGAAAGATGTAAAATATTAAAATGGTCAACTTTAGAGGAACGTAGACTTTATTTATCACTGATTGAGTGCCACAGTACAAGACAGTTTTTAATATCAATAATTTGGACTTTGATACCTACTGTATTTTGAACTTGGTTCGAAACGCACTAGGCCTAGGGCGAATCATGATTACAAACTATATGTTGCAAAATGTAACTCTTACAAATATTCATTCTTTGTAAGAATTATTAACGAATGGAACAATCTGCCCAAAGACGTTGTAGAGGCAGGAAATTTCAACCTATTTAAACGTAACTTAAAACTACTGGGTGTCCCAAAAAAAACTTGCGCTGTTTGATTTAATGTAACGTAAAAACTATAAAAGCTATTGCACTCAATAGCTATAAAAGCTATTGCACTGTTTCATTGTATTCAGAAAGGGCTAACTTAGATTTTGATATATAACATTTGAATGTCCGTGCAACAATGACTAAGCTATCGATGTTTTAAATCGAATAATCATATTTGACAATGTTAAATATATTGTTGCCAAAATAACGAATGAAAAACATAATTATTGGATAAACAATTTATTCATTCGTCTTAGAAAGTATGTCCTTTTTTACGTATACAATGTGTAGCACGGGAAAGCATAAAACCCAAACTCTTTGATCTTTTGTTAATCGAGGCATATTCAAAAGGCGAACAAAGACCAACTTTATAATACGAACTCCCATTGCAAAGGACGTTGAATATGCTTTCGAACGTTGTTAAATGTTTCATATTTATTTCGCTTCCCAAGAAACACAAAAGGCTAACTTATACTAGGATATTACCTGAAATTAAAGTTGAGTTGAAATGTTAAAATTTAAATTGTTAATTTTTGTGGAAAATGGCAATTGTTTTCACATAAATTTGATCAGCCATGTTTCTCGATTTTTTTACGCATTTTTAAAGTGTGCGCCAAATTCAAACATTTGTATCTCACGTAGTATTAAATGACAATTTTAGGGCTGCATATCAAAATCTAAGGCCCTGTTTACACTATACTGGATTGCATCGGAGCGGAGCGATTTTCATACCGGATTCGGCTGCTGTTTACACTACGCCACAGTAATCCGGTACGTGACGCGGCATAAAAATCACTCCGCTTTGGAGGTGATATGAAAAGTAATCCGGTATGTGCCGGAGCAGTGTAAACAGGCTAATCCGGTACACGTACAAAATCGGTTTTGGCGTGTATGTTTTAACATTGTCGCCTTTATTTGCTCGCTTTTACAATACTTTATAGCTGTTGTTTGTTTCGCCTTACAACCATTTACTATTTCTGCCGAACACAAATAAAGAAAACGATAATAACATTGACTTTTCACTTTCGAAAGAGCAAAATTTAAAGGAATACTCGTCAATTTTGGATTAGAGCGAAACGAAGCAACGTCTGGTGGTCAAGCTTTTTAATTAAACAAAGTTATACTTTACAAAGAAAACGGGTGTTAGTTCTTGTTTTTAATAAATTTTGGTATATTGGCTACTTGTTTCCATGGCGACAGTGAAAGACATAAGCTGGCAACAGAGCGAAGCGGCATAGTGCAAACACCCTTGTTTTTTTACTTCCGAGTAAAAATTAATCCGGTATGAAAAGTAATCCGGTATAGTGTAAACGGGGCCTAAGTTAGCCTTTCCTGAATACAATAGAATTTATTTGAGTGTAATAGCTTTTATAGTTTTTACCTTACATGAAATCGAACAGTGCAAGTTTTTTGGGGGATACCAGGTATATAATTATGAATATTTTTAGCCAATAGGTATATATAAAGATGCATGCATATGCAAGTGTCTGTTTTATGTTAGTATGTTTGTCAGGAAATCGTTAATATAGGGTTAACCACTCGATTCCTCCTTTTCAAGGTGCGAAGATTTACACTATTTGACATGTTTGTAGTGATAATATTTGAACACTTTGAATAAATTCTTATGTATGTATGTATGTACCCTTTTCTAATGGGTATAAATAACGAACAGTCCCTAAAAGCCCTATACCCACGTGGTTCACCATTGATGGCAATACATTGATCAGTTGAATCAATTGAAATTATTTTCATAGGTATTTTGTCCTGTTTTGAAGCGAAGAAGTTGATTTTGAAATTGAATGTGAAGAAGTTGATTTTTGAAATTTAATTTATAACCTTGAGCAGCATTTTTTTTGCAATGCAAACCAAAATATATTTCATTTGCCTCAACATTTCCTTCAGATGAAGACAGTCTGTCTTCAGCAATTGCCAAGTGCTGATGACTGTATAAAGGGAGTTTAACATGCAAATAAATTTTTAATGTGATCTGTAAGATTTTTTCCACTACGTATTTTTTCCACGAAATAGTAAAAATACTAATATGCCCAAATTACCAACATATGTGAATGTTGTCTGTAACTTAGGGGGCACGTTGCCATACAAGACATCAAATTGACATTTTTTTTATCTGAACCCACCCAGACTTGAAAATGTTAAGCGTGGCATACCTTATGACAAGATTTTTGTTAAATTTACCACACAACACAGCATACAGTTTTGACCCACCTGCCCACCCAAAACGTCATTGAATGTCACAATGTGATATTTTGTGAGGCAACTTGAATATGGATGAGTTCCCTCATCAATTTCAACACCATTACACCGCCAATAATGTGTAAAAAACCACTACTATGCAGCTTATCCTACAACACTTCTTCATAATATGTACGACTGACATCAAGCTCAACTGGCACGAATGACATCCCAGAAACTGGAACTGGCATTGCCATTGCACAGACGTTCATTTTTTATATCACCCCAGATTAATGAAATCCTGTTGTGAGCAATCTTGAAACATTTCAAACTAACATAAGCACAAACTGTATTTTTTCCTTTTCTCGGCCTCTTTGCTGATTGCTCTTACCTTCTTTTTTAATTTTCTTCAGCTTGCTTCTGATATTCTGTTCACTATCATCACTTGTGAAACTGGATGGGCATGACATTGTCGATGAGAAACTTGAAGTAGAAACGTTCCAGTTTTGCGAGGACGTATGGCGTGGTTTATGAATCTTTTTCTTGTGCGAAATTCCTTTATCTCGGTGCGATCTTCCAACCGATTGAGTAAACACTTTGTTTGGAAATTCCGCCATTTTGTTGCGCAGCATTCAATATTGAGCACGACATAAATACACGCGGGAACACGTAATAGAAGTGCGTGATTCACGTTCATCGGTCACGACCAGGTCACGACTTCACCGCCTTTGTCAGCGATGTGATTTAGCCAGTGAATTTAGCTTGCTTTACATGTAATTAAAAACAAACATAGCGCAAATTGGCGGGAAATAAAAAAAGAAATGCTAACAAATATTTTATAATTTTTCTGCTGTAATTCTGTAAATATACTATGTCGTGAAAACTGTTGTACTTTTAAAAGTCCCATCCATGTCTTGTCTTTCTCAACAACCAGGCCCAGAAGAAAGGGAATATATCCTCATGGCTCAACTTTTCAACACAAGAAATTTATCAAATATGTTGAAAGCGATTCATTTTAAAGAGGTTAGTATAATCCCGGCGTACTTTATAGTCGATGAAAACCAATCATCGGAAATCCAATCGATCAATCGATGGTAATCAATCGATATTAATTACTTAATTGATATCGATTGACATTGGTCAATCGATGACCAATCGATAGTCACAAAACGTGATGGCCAATTTTATCGATTATTATCGATATTCATCGATTATTATATCCTAAATAGTTGCCACGTGTCAGTGTGTTCGAGCTATTAAAATAGTAAATCACACACTTGTATTTAATCTGTATAGCCAGATAAAAACTTAATTTAATCCATTGTTACTGAATTCTGTTCACATTTGTTTTGTTACAACATTAAAGTACGTATTAATCAAATTATGGCGTTACATGTTTGATTGCATGCATATTAACAGAGGATTTCTTCATCAATGGATAATCAATCGATGAAAGGTCACAGCAAAACAAGGAGGGGGTATTGGGGGTATTCAATGCCGTAATACCTCAAGCAGATTTTGCCAATAACCACAGTTTTTGAGTCCAAATTTGCAAATATCGTGTACCACAAGATTTCCAATTTATCGTAATACCGCAATTTTTCATATTTTTAAGATTTCCAATATCGTAATACAGTGATACCGTAAATCATAATGTCCCCCCCCCCCCCAACAAGCCATCGATTATTCATCGATTTTCAATATCAATCGATTAGGGGGAAAATGTGTGGGTTTCCTATTTCTTCTTGTAAAAACGTAGGTAGGGTAGGTTGGTTTTAACATTTATTTTAAACAAAAAGTGGAAACACTTAGTGGAAACACAAGCATGATCCAATAAAAAAGTTCAGGGTCGGAATTTCGGCACCCAAAAGCCAGGTAGGGTCGGGAAACTAGAAACCCACATTTTTTTTTGCCTTAATAAATATCGATTGGTATTTGATTGATATCGATACTCATCGATTATTGATTTCATCGATTAAGTATGCGGAGGTATAATATACAACATGATGTTTTCGATCAGTTATCGTGTAAATGTATGCATGGCAGCCCCCCCAGTTTGTTGGGCAGTCGGGCAATATTCGCTGAACAGTCGGGCAATTTTGGTTTATTAAAAAAATAAATGGGACAAATTCTGTAAATTTTGTGGTCAATATTGTGATGTTTCTAAAATTTTTGTCAGGTTCCGGAAAATTTTGGTATGTCCGGAAAAAATTTTTGACCCCTAAAATGGTACACTGACCGAAAATGACCCCTAAAATGGTACACTGACGTCCCCCCCCTCGGGCAAATTTCTTTCCGCCCCCCTAAATTTTTCCTTCCGGTACGCCCATGAATGTATGCAATATCACACAGCCATAGCTGCCAAGGTTGAATGGTCACAGGGGCGGATTCAGACCGTTGCAACCGTAGCATATGCTACGGTCAGATTTTCCCTGAGATATATTTTTCCAGGTTGTACCTTTTTTAAAGTTATTAAAAATCTAAAACGTTATACTAGTTTTAATTGCCGTTATTTTCAATTTTTCATTGAAACTTGGTGCAATTTTTTTAAAATTTACTAAATCATATTGATACAATTTTATCGAGTTTTTATTTCATTTTGGATAATTAAATTCGGGTTTTTCTCAAATTTCCGCCCGAAATACTGCCTTTATTTGCGGGTTTTGCACTAGTACTATATCACATCGTTCTGAAGTCGTAGCATTTGCTTCATTGTGATTGGCTTGCTTCGTCTAACCGTAGCAAACCAATCATAGCGCTGTATTTGGAAATTTTTGCAGTGGTCAGATTGAAACTGACCGTTGCAAAAATTCGCAAATACGGCGTGCTGATTGGTTTGCTACGGTCAGACGAAGCAAGCCAATAAGAATGAGGCAAAATTCTACTGTTTGCAATAGTCGCATCGACTTCAGAGCGATGCTGGCTTGTTATTGTCGTGTCGGCTCCACGTTGTAATCGAATAGTCGGTAAATTTTAATCGCCGCTCGTTCCAAGGAGAAAGACATGACTTCTACAGCACTCCACGATCTTCTGTGTATAATGAACGAATATAAACGTGTTTCATTTAACGAAAAGGTGCGCGAAAGAATTCTGATCGAATGCTTTTGGTGTGCGATTATTGGCATAATTTGCATTTCCCGCGATGTAAACTGTGAAGACAGCGCTGTTTGAATCACCTCCGTGTCAGGTCAGTCTCATGAATAGTATATTAAATATGTAAATAACATATCGAATTTTACACAGTTCATGCGTCTCGAATATATTACCATATATTTGCTGATGAAACGTATTATTATAAAAATGCAGAACAATATCAATGGCCACTCACACTAAGTGATAGCCATTGGCATGCCATGTGTGTTTATATTAAGAAATATGTTTATAGTTAATCTCCTATATATTTTATGGCTTAGACTTTGCTCATGTAATTATTAGTTGTAGACCTGTTGTAGTCTATAAAGACTAGTGAGTAGTGTAAGTGAAATTTATAGAAATAGTTACACTCCGATATATTATATTGTAGTTTACATGTATACTAACAGAGTTTAGAATTACAACAGCTGAGCCTGCTTCCTGGGATAACGTGTCATAAATATATGGTTAGATGTTTCAAATCCATGTATTGTATACCTTACTTGTATTAAAATTCGCGTCGTATACTCATTTTCGTTCAGCTTTAAATTCGCGCATTCCAATTTCGCGAAACTTGTTCGCGCAGCTTTAAATTCGCGCAAGTAATTTTCCGTGTTGGTTCCTTTTGGTTTGTTTAATTAATATAACTATAACAACAAATACTTCAATATTTGTCTAAACAAAATTCATGATAACAGTAAAGCGTATAAAGTTCAAACTTCAAAATGTATGGTTTTCATTTGCCTAATACAATAACAATAACTAATTTTTATTAGCATCCCATATATTATAGGTTCGTATCCAATCTCGTTCCCCGAGCATGCCCGTTCGCAGGTTAAGGGTGGGCATAGCTCTGGAGAAATCGAATTGATCACGTTGAATTTCCAACGTGAGTTCTACGCATACTCAGCAATGTTGCAAAATATAAATAAAGTATTTAGAATTTCGCGTCGAAAATTTGATACATTTTACACTGAAATCGAATTGAAAACAACTAAAAATTCTGGGGGAAATATGTACGAAAGCTTCGGTTGGATAGGGATATAGCTACCTGAAAAATACAAGGAGAACTTCGACGTTTCGAGCGAAGGCGCTTCGATCTGTACTGTTAGTGTTTGTATACATCGTCCCTATCAATCCGCAGCTTTCGCACATATTTCCTCCAGAATTTCTAGTTGTTTTCGATCGATTTCAGTGTAAAAAGTATCAAATTTTCGACGAGAAATTCCAAATACTTTGTTTATATAGAACTCACGTTGGAAATCCAACGTACTATATCTGCCGTTAGCCAATCACAGGCCTGAATCAATTCGATTTCTCCAGAGCTATGCCCACCCTTAACCTGCGAACGGGCATG